CTCTTGAGTTTTGGGAATAGCCAGAAGTCACACGGAGCCAAATCAGGCTAATACGGTGGTTGCGGAACGATATGCGTCGAATTTTTGGCGAAATGGTCACGAAGAACGAGTGCAGTGTGAGATGGTGCATTATCGTGATGCAAAAACCAAGAGTTGTTGGCCCATAATTCTGGTCTTTTTAGACGAATTGCTTCACGCAAACGACGCATAACGCTCAAATAATATTCCTTATTAACAGTTTGGCCGGGTGGAAGGAATTCATAGTGCACCACACCACGAAAATCGAAGAAAACTGTCATCATGAACTTGATTTTTGAACGACTTTGACGTGCTCTTTTCGGTCTGGCCTCGCCTTTAGCACGATATTCGCTTGATTGGTCGGTTGTTTCAGGGTCGTAAGCATAAATCCAAGTCTCATCTCCCGTAATCATGCATTTGAGCTTGTCCTGATAGTCAGAAAGCATTGTTTCACACACATCAACGCGGCGACTTTTTTGCAAGAAATTGAGCGTTTTCGGTACCAAACGAGATTTGACTTTTCGTAGGCCCAAATGGTCTTTCAAAATTGTTTTCACAGATCCTTCTGATATTCCGATCATATCAGTAAGGTCTCTAACAGTCAACCGACGATTTTCGAGCACTAATTCCTTCACTTTATTGACGTGTTGGTCATCTGTTGACGTCGATGGTCGTCCGGAGCGCTCCAAGTCATCAACACGTTCTCGACCCTCTTTGAAGTCTTTGTACCACTTATAAACATTTTTCTGCGACATGGTAGAATCACCAAAGGCCTTCCGCAACATCCTCAACGTTTCCGCAGCCGAAATTTCATTCCGCAAACTTTGATGGCACTTCTTTGCTCAATTAAATCAGACATTGTAAAAATCGAAACATGCACTCTTGGTCGTTTGGTAAACAGAAGCGTAAATATATTACTGATGATGACATTGACATGAAATTTGTCCCAGATGTCATTCGCAGTCCTACCAACTCAAGAAAAAAAGAACTAGCCCGAAATGTTAAGCCCGCGAAGTTTAAATTGAAAATTCACCTTACTTTTTGCCCACAGTAGTATATATACTGGCATAGACAACACAGAGAACTGTAACAATGGTGAAATCGAAAATATTCTTTTCCTGACTATCTTAATTCTTTAAATCCTTCTAATTTTCCTCTTCATAAATTGCGTTTAAGAACGTTTTGCATTGTCATGTTAATCAGAAATATAAGTTTAAGTGAAGGATTATGTAATGGAACAAGATTAAAAATACTTGATTTTTCACATCATTTATTAAAATTTAAAACAAACGCAATAATATAATATTTCTTAATCGTATCACATTGTGTTGTGAAAATCAATATCCGTTGATTTTTGAAAGACGGCAATTTCCAATTAGATTGGCATTTGCTATAACTAATAATAAATCACAAGGGCAAATTTTCAATAAGATTAGTATCGATCTTCAAAGAGATATTTTTAATCATGGTCAATTATATGTAGCTTTGTCTAGAGTTAGATCATGGGATTCGTTAAGAATTTATCTTGGAAATTAAAAGGAGAATTCAATTGTTAGAAATTACGTATATACAGAATTGTATCAATGAAAATCACTAAGTTAATTTCGATAGCTGATCCAAAGAAATAATATTATTACGATGATGCATATTTACTAATTTGTCTCTTGATTTATATCCGAGATATATTAGTTTTTTTTTTATGTTTTGGAATCATTGGTCACTTTTTTGTATGAATATCAAGCACTTGAATGTAGCTATTTTATTATTGATTGCATTTAATCTAAGATCGCTAAGGTATTCTATGGATATTAATTAATTATGGATATTGATGGATATTAATATTTAATTAATATTAATATCTGTCAATAATGGATTATGAAAGTAAGTTACAAATACTTGATTTTTCTAATAACATACATTATTAAAATGTAAGATATTAACCGGAGACATACAATAATAACATTGTATTTCTCGATTAAATTATATTATATTGTGACAATTAATATCGCCATAATAATGTGATTTTATATTTTTATTACCAAAATGAATTTTATTTGAGCGCGCGACGGGTGGTATGGTATTCTAGTATACTAGTACTATTCTAGTATAACGTACTGCATAATTTACCTGAAATAAAAAGGAATTCACAGAGGATGTGAGGATAGCATTGCAAAACCTACAATGAGGTCAGGGCCTTTAGTACAGCGTCGTCGAGGAAAGAGGGCGGCATTGAAAAATCCGCGAAAGCGCAGGATAAAAAAGCGGCAGCACATTATTTTTTATACTTAAATCCAGCTGGAAGAAATAGTGTTATTTTTAATTTTCAAAATATCATGTAATATCCAACAATATACGAACTTAACAAGCAGCCTGGAAAAAGAATTTTACAAGCTCGGTCTGCGACTGATATGTTGATAAATAAACTAGTCGTGCCAAGATTCCTCGAGTTTTCCGCTATCATAGAAATATATCAATCGCAGACAGTTAAGTTTGAAAGTGCCTTATTTGGGCAGCTCTTAACGCTTTCATCATGCCTTTGTCCCAAGAAAAAGGTTTGGCAGTATTTTAAGATTATACCTAGTCTTGATGCTGTGAATAAGCACCGCTAGTTATCAGTCGTGGCGCGCACATATGATACTCCCTTCCTGTGATTTCCATTCGCCTTTACCCGTCCGCCCGGCTAAAGCGTGCACTGGTCCTCTTTCAATGAGTCAAAATTTTTCAAATGGGCCACCTAAAACCGACCGGTCAATTTTGATATATCGTTTTGCAGATTTCGGAAGGTTATATATCATCAATGATGTGCTAACAGTTTTTGTTTTGATAACAGTTTTTGAAAATTTTGATTTTTCGAAAAGTTATAAACAATTAAAATGTTCAAAGGCTTTTTTTCAAATTGCAATATCTCGGTGAATAATTTACAAAATTGGATGAAATTTTTATGGTGTATTAAGTAACGGTAGGAAAATAGAACACAATTCAATGTATATCAAAAAAATATTATTTATTAATAAATAATCAAATTTGTTATAAACCAATTGCAATTTAGCTAACTTCTCGGTGTTGTAGAAAAAAAATTTTTTTCATAAATATTCCTTATACTATTTTCTAGACGACTGCGCAATCAAATTTTAGTGCACTAGCTTCGGAAAAAAGATATAAATATTTTAATGTACTAAGTGGCGGCCGCGACGCAAGTACTTGGCGCAGCGAAGCCCCGGGCGCTAAGTTTCCAGACACACTTCTACCCTCCACAGTTTTTCAAGCTATGTACACAAAAAAAGTATGTACACATCTACTTTCAGCTTGAATGTGGACGATTGTAAGAGTCAACGGACGAATCGATAAAACTGTGATTCTCTGTTACAATATAATATTTTAAACTCCTTCCGTATATATTAATCAATCCCCGCTTTTTAACATAAAACTTAATAACTATTTATATTTACTTGTCCAGATATTGACTCGAACTTTAAGCACAGACTTACAATATTTCGAAAGTCTAGTGAATTTCGTGTTGCATTAATTATTTGTTAAATATAAAAATTGGCTCAAATCTAACTGATGTAGGTATACACACATAAGTCGAATGTATATCGCCATAATTGCTTCGTACTTGAAGCATACATATCCCTTCTCTGTTATTTCAACAGAGAATGGCTGAAAATTTACTACAATTGCGAGCCCGTGATCAAGGAATGATTTTACCATATTTGCGTTGTAGTGAAACTTATTTAGTTTATTTTAAAGCCTGAACTTCCGTTGATGAAAATTTCTGTTTCTTTCGTTAGAAAATATGAGCGTTCTTCGCTTTCTATTTTTTTGATTAAAATACATTAAAAAAATAAGTAATTCGTATAAAATGAGTTATTAACTTTAGGTCGGATTAGTTATATTATAATGTGTGTATGCGTTTATGTGTGTGTAACGCCTTTATATTATAATATGTAATAGGGAAAGGAATATTTATTTAATTTCCCTACTAATATCTGAACTGCGTTGCAAAACTAATAGTCTTCACGTTGCTAATGTGCTGCTGTAAATGGACTGTGACTGATATATCGTAAATTCGTAGTTGCATCACATGAGTATTATCTCAAGAAAAAATTAGTTGTATGCAGAAGTGAGTGAGTTAAATTGAATGAGCGACTTGTTAAAAAAACAGTAAATGATATATTACCTATAAATGGAGTATGTACACGGAAACGACCTAAAGTCTATACGGTTTTATTAATTTGACTTTTGCTAGAAACAAACAGAAGACAGTTCGAGAAAATAACGCATGCGATAAAAATTGATTAAGTCGAACTTACGCTGCGTTTCTGAATTGCCTGTCATTACGTACCCAACACATCATTTACTCCTTTCTTTTCTTACTGAGGCGACACTTTAGGATGTTGTTACTTCCACGTCAATGATGTTAGGAAATCTCTTGGAGCCCACATGTATCCGATCTCAATTCATTTAACGTGAAGGAAAAGTTTCGTAACTCAGAGCGGTTACGTGTGGTTCGGCCAGCGGTCAGCTGAAATCTTCTTAATCATCAAAGGCTAGGTCATAAGCCTATATTTTCCTCAGTTCCTTTAAACTATCTCTCTTTCTTTCTCATACATGGTCATTTTCTCTCTCGAGGTAATACATTCTCACCTTGCCAAAAAAATTGAAAATGCTATAATCGTACGTAATAAATTTTTTAATTTCGTCATTTATTGCAATGGTGATGTTATATTATAAAAATCAGTACATAAATAACTCACAAAACAATAAATATGGCGGTTTGCATCAGTATACGAGTAATGTTCGCATAAATCAAGGTCTCTCGCATTCACTTAATTCAACGTCTTATTATAGAAATTTTGTTGTAATTCATCATTTTTAACTTTTTTAAACTTAAATTGATATCTTATTAAAATAATTAAAAGAAATTCAAAAAGTATTAATATTCAAATTTGGTTAAATTATATAATGTATTTTTTTTTCAGTTTCTATATCAATTTTTGAGTTTTGGAATGATCGTTTCATCAGCTCTCATGATTTGGAAAGGATTAATGGTACTTACAGGGAGTGAAAGTCCAATCGTTGTAGTATTGAGGTATGACTCAAATAATTATACGGCTCTTAACTTTACATAAAACATAGTATTTTACGTCATAAAGTCGAGAAGTTGAGAATCTAGTTTTTCTAGACCAAGTGGAGTCATTACTCGAATTAAAAACATTCACTTTGATTCGTGTTTTTTCGTTCTGTACACCACTTACATTAATCGGGGTTTCCCCTATATATATATACACCTTAATCTAGCACTTCAGGGTGATTTTTTTTTCGTATTGAGCACTTTGGGGATATATGAGGCAGTTTGGGGAGATGCCCAAAGTGCCATATCTTAGACGAGCAGTTTGGGGAGATCTCCTCAAAGTGCCATACCTTAAATGAGCCGTTTGAGGATATGATAATATTGCAATTTTTTATTAATGATATTAATAATAAACAGGTTTTTAAGCTCGCTTTCTAAAAATTCAACCTCAGACTTTCAAAATTCATGATTACTAATCATGTATAACAAGTTCAATACAAAATATAAAATATCCTAAATATACTATGGATTAGACCCTAGACAATTTAATTCTAACACTCATAGCGATCGAAATCGTGAGCTGTGACATAGGTTAAGTAGTCTCTTCTCCGCATTAATTGCAATAAATTATCATACCATATCAGATTTCTTCAGAGATAAGTAGTATGTCGATAATTATTATTTCAATTAATATTTTATTTAATCAGTACATTTTATTATAACGGAGACGTTTTTTTATTACTACATCATCTATACTAAAACCTATTGAAAACCTGAAGATTTAAAATCAGTGTTGGTTATAACCGTAACAGTATTTTATAATATTATTCTTAGCATCAAAAATAATAAATTAATATTTTATAATAATTTCCTTTTATTAAATTGGCTGCGCATTAAAAATGATGAAAAAAAGTTTAATAACTTTTATTTGCGCGTGGTCACGTTTTCGAAAATTATGAAAATTATAATTTTTGTTTTATTAATAAAATACAATATTGAATATGTTTGATCAATCATGCCGACTGCGCGTATCACGCATCGAGAGCATCCGAAAGAATTTATTGAATATTATATATACAACTGAATTAATTAATAAATTATACTTTTATTTATTTTTGCTTGACGAGTGCAAAACATCGTGTAACAAAACTCATTCCTTTGTTACCAATTCTTTTGCGGGGTAAGTGAGGCACTTTCGCTCATGACAATTGAGGGAGAAGAACGAGGGGAGGCTGATAAATAAATTATAGAAAGACAGAATTCAAATCTCACTTACAACCTATTATTATTAATAATTATTCACACTGAACATACGCGCGCATAACATAATCTAAATTACCGACCAACAAACTGCAAATAGAACAATAAACTACTTAAGATAATCACAAATGAACATTTCGCATTTCACTAATACCTAGTCGCGTACTTAACCTATTACAAACTTACTTAAAACTACGCGAACTAATACCGGGTAAATTGCCCGGCACGTGGGCGCCTGGACAATTCACCGGTCGCAGCTTACGTCACTATAAATTAAACCTAGCGCGAACCTTCAGATAGCCGGCACGTGAGTGCCAGGCTATCTCTTTCCACGCGCACCGGTCGTCGCATCAACAGAGAGAGAGAGAGTGTAGAGAGAAAGAAGAAAAGGAAGGCTTGACCTTTTATCTCCTGTTCCTCACAACGTCGAGAATCCTGAGCGATGTGCTGCCGCAGGAAGTACCGGGTGTCGTCGCTGGTCAGATCGTCGCTAACCGCTGTCACTGACCAGGTATCCGTAGGCGACGTTGACTCTCCTAGCAGGTGGGCTGGCTACAGTTGCTGGCAAAGCCGTTGCCGGTAGGGTTGATCTTCCTTCCTTCCGGCTATCCCAAACTGCTCTCTCTGCTGGGCTCGGACTTCCGCACTCTAGTAGGACTAGGCTTCGACTCCCTCACTCTAGTAGGACTCGGCTGCGACTCTCCTCACGCACTAATTCTTGCGCGCATCTTGCAGTCGCTCAGCGGCGCTCGCTCCTCTCCCTACCTTGACCTATTAGTTAGGCGGCACGCGACGCGTCGCTTATCGGTCACGCGTTGCGCGCCTGCCAATCCCTGCATGGGCCTAATACTCTCTCTCTCTCTCTCTCTTTCTCACTCTCTCTTCGCGCTCTTCAACTTTTCTTTCGCTCAACTACGCTGGCTCGTCCTTGGCGCTGAAACAAAAGGCCAAGTGTTAGACGCATACTTAAATGCGCCCAACGTTGGCCACCACGCCTAGCCGAGTGGGGGAGGGAGAAACGCGGACGAGAGACCGGCGCACGGCCTGCTCTCGTCACACCCCCTTCCAAGGCCAAAGTTCGCACCCGCGAACGGCCTGACTCCGTTTCTCCTTCTCTCTCTCCCTGTCGACCGGCAATGGTAACCAACGATAGACGCTAAATTATATCATAATATCTTAGACTTAGCTTAAATCATAATTAATTCTGAGTTGGTAACAACCATATCAACTAAGAGCAAAATCTAACAAACCCAATAGTCTAATCCGAGTGATATGCCTAACCTTTCGTCATAGCAAGCCGACTAATCCACTGCGCCAAGATCGCGACTAATTCAGTATCCAATTAAACCAAGAATCTTACCATTCACTGCCGCTCCAACGACTCTAAATATCGGAGCCTGAGCGTTCGAAGTTCCTCCGCCGAAGGAAACGAGGCACTTGCCTGGGTAGTCTTTGGCCGGCATCATCAGTCGCCTCGGACCCAATCACCTCGGCACTCCGATCGCTCGGCTCACCCGCGGGGAGATTTCCATCCCCGTATTTTCAGCCGAACCGACTTCAGTCCCGGCTCCCTCTGCCGCAAGCGCCTGTGACCTACGCGCGAGCTTAGCGCGAAAACGCTTGCCGCATCGGTGCCTGGGCTTTTTCGCCTTGGGCTCCCCGACGGAGGATTCAGGGCTGGCTACCTCGGGCATTGACCTAGAAACTTCGAGCTCCGGCTCCACAGTTTTTGGCTGCGTCGCCGGGAGCTCTACTGGTTCGCCCGGGCGAGCCCGAACCCTTACCTCCTCCACCGATCGTGCGCGCGCCTGGTCTGCCATGAAGGCGTCGCGGCAACGTGGACAATCTTGCACGCGGACATCGAGTCGCCAACAGTTCCTACAGACCGGACGCGAGAGAGGCGGGTTCCTGCAGGCCGACCTGGGATGTGACCCCGTTCTGCAATTAAAGCAGCGGAACGAGGGCACGTCCAATTCCTCATCCCAGAGGACCGGAGCCAGGTTTTGCAGGAAGCTACCTCTTACCAACCGAAACCCCGTTTCGTCGACGCAACACGGCGACGCAAAGGACGAGGCCGGGCTCGCCACCTGAGGAGTCGGGACAGGTCGTACCGGCCTAAGGGTTGGTCGCTCCGGCACAACCGGCTCCACTCTTCGTGGGGTCGGCGGCACCACCACTTCCATCCTTGTGCCTGCCTCTCCCGTCTTCTCGGTGACTGTGCTCGCACTAACTTCCGAAGCTCTCCCTTTGCCAACAGCCAACGAAACGGTGGCTGGAGGGCGCCTGTTGCCTCAGCAACGGCTCCCTCCACCATCTTGGGTAGAGTTGGTGTTGAACTAGAGGTTGGCCTTTCAAAATTACACGCGGATAGGTTGAAACGCATCGTGCGCTTCCTCCTACTCAAATTATGGCGAGCCTCAGCCTCCTTCCTTCTCTCGTCCTCCAAATACCCCGCTGGGTAGAATTGCGCGGGCCCACCCCTGCGGACGAATTGGTACGCGGGGTCTAACCTCTGTAACGCGAGCGGTTTGAAAGGGAGGTTAGGATGGATGTGTGGCTGCGGAGCCACTCGAGGCAGCTCCTGCACCGGCATCGCCTCATCCTCGGAGTCGCTCGAGCTTAGCACCACCTCCAATATACCGTTGGTGGCACCTCGCTTTCTGGGACTCCAGTTTCCCCTTCCAATACAAGCCCTCGCGGTACGGCTCCGATTTGCCGCCCTACCCGCGAGATATCCTCCCGCGGCAGCTCGAGAGCCCGGCGATTTCTCGCCTTGGCTACTCGTGCCCGCCTGCGAGAAGACAATTCCCTCTTTTGCGGCGATAACTCTCGACTTCTCGGATGCTTCGCGTATGCAAAGCGTCGTGAGCCGAAACGTTGCGCTGCGACGTACCGCCTCGTCCCAGGTACGCGTGGGCGCAGCCAGACGAATTATCGAACCCGCACGGCGATTTCCCGTTAACAAACGGACCCCTCGCCGGTCACTCACGAACGGCGTCGGGGGCGAAGGCAAAGGCGGCGGCAAAGGGAACCCCTTCGCCTGCCCGTCACTGTCCCCGCCAACCGACGCCTGTGCCAACCGTGAAATACAGGAGGCAATCTCGACGTCAAAGGAGGCCGCCTGCCCAAGGCCTGAAAACCGGGCGGCAGACTCCGACGCTCGGTCTACCTCCATAGCCTCAGCAATTCCCGCCGAGTTCACCGATGCGGTCACGTCGCCTGTAGGTGTTTGAGCCTCGGCGACTTGAGCGATGCGGTCCGACTCCTCGGTTTCAGCCATCATCACCTGACGTCGATGAACCTCTTGTACCTTTAAAACAGAACAATTCAGTTATTACACCTGTCCTATTTCGCACACTTTTTATTTACCTTACGCGGTGGTATATATCGCTTAATTTCCGAGACGTGTACCCTATCTGTACGATGCTTACTGTTCGTCGTTAGCTCGTAGATCTCGGGCGAAATTACTGAAATAATTTCAAACGGTCCGTCAAATTTTGGATCAAGTTTCGCGTTTTTACCATCCGCTGCGCTCGAAAGCGTATGCACTTTGCGCAAAACCAAATCACCTACCTGAAAAAGTACCTGACGCCTACCCTTATCGTAGTGTTTCTTTTGCCTTTCCTGAGCTTCATCAATGTGCCTAGCTACCAAGTCGCGTAATGCATTTAAACGTGATAGCCTATCTTCCCACACCTTCGTATCTATCTTAACAATAGGGGCCTTTGCCTCGATCTCGCGCCTTAAACTCTTTACCG